GATGTAGGGGGTGTGTGGGTTGTAAATGTATAATTTAACATGCAAAACCATGTGGACAGAACCTGAAGGTAATTTTGTTAAGCGCACCTGCAAACTGAAGCTGACAGATTTTATATATGAACCTTCTCCATTATCCCCCAATGGAGGCTTTTCCACAGCCTAATGAATCTTACTGTCAGGAAGGGTTTTGTGGTATTCAAAACAGATTTTCCATTTCTTAATTTCATCCCATTACTCCTAGTCAAACACTGTGAACAGCACTAAATTATCCTTTTCGGTCCTAAGGGCACAATTTGTGCATGGTTATCATGTCCAATTGTGGCTGTTACTTACCGAAGTGGAGCAATACATGTGCTCTTCTTTAATCTTTTCTGGTGAGTCAGTCTCCTCAGCCCCTGGATTGTTTTGTTGAACTGCCTTCAATTTGCTGCTATCTTTTTTTTTTCCCCCTTTTTTTCCTCTGAAATTCCCACAGCTGAATGGCTGAATGCAGCATTCCAGGTGTGGCTTTACCTGGAAGGTAGAGAGGGCTAATACCCCCCAGCACCGTCGTGCCTTTTGTTTATACATCCGCAAGTCATACTGTCCTGCTGCCATATTTCAAACTTGTGCTAACTTGCTGGCCACTGGAAGATCCAGGCTATTTTCATTGCATTTTCTTTCAAACTCTATCCTTTCAAAGATCCTTCAATTGTTTTATTTTTAATTATTTTCCATTTCCCCAGATTATTCTCATTGTGTTTCCTGTCTGTATTTCTTATTGCTTTCTGTGTTTCCTGCTATTTGCAAAACTTTCCAATTTAGGAGCATCTGTGACTTTTATTAGCCTGTTGTTTACTTCCAAATGATTGATGATAGTACTAAAAGCATCAGTCTTTACACCAAACCACTAAGGCTCTGTTTTATCCTGTCTAAGGCTAGACAGTTAATTTAGGAAGTGCCCTTCCCATGGCTCCCCCTGTCGTTAATGCAAAGACAGGAACCACCAAAGTGTGAGTCAGATTTTATCTGGGCTGAATTATTCCCTAAATTAATCAAGGTTTAGGTGAGATGAATGTAGGCCTGTCTCCTTTAGTCTGAAAATGCCTTGGACTATCTCTGTGCTTTAATTTCAACATTTTATTCCCTGTATGCTGAGATCAATTTAACATTAACAAAAAAAAGGAGGCATTTGTGAATCCTGGAAAATCTGGAAATTTCCAACATTAGAACAATGTTCTGATTTTGGTTACAACTGTGAAAACCAGACTAAGCTTGCTAAATTCAGTGGAGATAGTCCAGCTCTAATTCTGGAGTTGTATTTCATAATAAGGGTTGAAGTAGGAACATCTGGAGGATTTGATTCTTTAGGTTTTGCGATTGGAAAATCATGTTTATCAAAGCAATTGGTGCAGGAGGAGTTGCTGGAACTGTGTGATAACTGAGCTGTCTCCACTGACAGGTTCAAAGACTACAGAGAACCACCTTGGTCCCAAAATCAGTATGAGTTTTCTAAACAGTACTGGGCGATCTTATCCGCTCGCTTGGCTTTTGTTATTCTATTTCAGGTAAGTCTGTTGAGTTGCTGCAATTTCATTCACAGAAATATCATAATAAGTGGATTGAAATCCATGTGTCAAAGAAGCCCATGTCCAATAGAGCTTTTCTGTTTGCAAATACCCAGCCTGCTGTGTTTGCACCCAGCCTGCTGAGGTGTCAGTGGGCTGCAGCACAGGTTCTCCCTTCGGAGTACTGTGGCACACCTCAGTGGAAATTTCCTCTCCCTTCATGAAAGGGAAGCCCCACAGCCCACATTAGCCCCTGGCACTAGCAGCGATCCCCAAAATAGTCCAGGCTCTTGAACGTTTCAGTTAAGTGGACTCTGTCAGCTTTTATACTCTCAGGAGCACCACTTGAAAAAAGCACATAAATGCTATGTAGGCTTGTGAAATGCTGTTCTTTACCCAAATCAAGAAATAAACAGAGGTAATAAATCCTCCAAGGTCTTTTGCTACTTTCTACAAGTAAATGGAGTAAATTGTCCCCAGCGTGGAGATTTCATTGGCAGAGGATTTGCTATCATGGCTTGCCTTCCGAATGGCCTTCTGCTCTCCTCCATGACCTGGGATCCCTCCACAGTCAAATTGGGCTCACCATATTGAAATCTGCCTGTCTTTTCTCCTCACCTGACAAATATTCCTAAGTGTGACTGTGAGTCCTGCTTGGCTTATATTGCCTTCTTCTGCTTCTTTGCTCTGTTTTCAGTAATTTTCCACCACTGGCTGCAAAACATTTAAAACCAACTGGTTATGCTGGGCTTCAAATAGCCTGCCTGTTGTTCTGCCAGAGTACATTCCCTGGTTAATTAGCTCCATTGTCTCAGATGGGGATGGAGGGTTCATGTTAGTAGCCTTGTCAGCAAACATTCTCACACATTTTGAGGTATTACACAACATAGCAGTTTTCAAAGCATTATCATGATAATGTAAGCCCCAAAGCATAATTTATCTATAAATTTCACAAAGAAGCAAAACTTTTTGCCCAGTATGCTTCCTGCCTCTGTGTTAGGAGCATCACTTGTAATGACCTTGACACTTGAGGTTCAGGGTTGTGGCTTGCATGCTGCAGTAGTGTAAAAAAATCCTGCTTGTCAGCAGAAAGAAGGATTTGAGGACAGAACGACCATGAAAGTTGTCTGCTGTCTGCTCAGACCATATTGGAAACACATGGGTATGATTGTGTTGGAGGATGCTTTCACTGATGTTGCCCTTACAGTAATGGATCCTGAACTCAGTCTCAATGAATTTGATGTTGAGAACTGAGCACCTTTGAACGCCTGTAAAGAATAATCCTGTTTTAGCTGCTTAGGCCATGAATCATTTGACGAAGTCCTTTCCCATTTCAAACCTAACTGAAGCATGTGTTTAATTCAGCCGCTCCACTGAGGGGGAGTTGTGCACAAAAGTGAGCTGTTTCTTGATCTAAGGCCTTACTCAACTGCTTAATACTACATGTCATCAGCAAAATGTGTTTGACACCTGCCTCATAGGTGTAAAACCTATGTCAAACCTCATAGCAAAGGTTTGGTTTTGCTCTAGTGCAAGTATTTTAGATTTTTCGTAATTGTTTCATGTCTGTTGTTGTGTTTGCAGAACTTGGTGATGTTCCTCAGTGTTCTGGTTGACTGGATGATTCCTGACATCCCCAAGGACATCAGTGAACAGATTAAAAAGGAGAAGAGCGTGCTTGTTGACTTCTTCCTGAAGGAAGAACATGAAAAACTGAAGCTCATTGAAAGCTTTATTGCACGTGACAAGCAGAAACACAAAAGTGGGACCAAAGGCGAAAGGATCCGGGCTGCCAGCTTCTGTCAGTTTAACCGAAGTCAGAAAGGCAGCTTTGCCTCCTTTAGCTCGCAGCACACAGAAGTGTGACTCCTTAAGGAAGGGTAACATACTATGCTTACCTCTGCAATACATGCTTACTGTGTGACATGATTCTGAACCTGGAGCAAGGGAGGGAGAGACAGTCAAGGAAGAGACAGAGAGCAAAAAGGAGGCTTCTTTTGCTTCCTTAGAAACTCCATATGCAAAGGTCTCCATTACATTTTATACATTATCTGGGCTGCAGCATTTTCAGACTTTATCAGTGTGAGATAAGGGCTATATTGTGGCTGTAGCTGGTCCTTGTGGTGATGCGTGTGAGTCGGGTAGGCATGCAGGAATTCTCACTCATGCAGTCTCAGTGGTAGGACTCCAACCGTCCCTCTTTCTGCAGATACCCTGTGAGGCACGGGGAGTAGAAGGGACACTCCTGCTGTCTATCTATCTTTTGGCAGATCTGACCAACCACAGCGAAGGGCACACAACGTATGGTTTCATGGCTTGTAGCTGCCAGCAGATAGCTTATAAACATGTGGAGTCTCAGGAGTCATTGTGCCTTCCTAACATACACTGCCACTTGGTGCTGTCTTTGTAGAGCATGCAGGGCTGTCGTTAAGGGCACAGAGCTGTGGGAGCAGAAGGAATGAAAATCACTGAGCACTTTCATCTACAGATATATTGTGTTTTGTTTAGCAGGAGCCTGAATGTATGTGCTAATGAGCAGAGAGGCCACAACATATGCATCAGAATGAAGTAAAGCTGCTAGAACTAGGGAAGCTCATTGTTATTCATTGTCCTGAACAAAAAAAAAAAAACCTGCATGTTTGATTCTCCTCTCACTTAGACTGGGAATTCAGCCAGTATCAAGAGGAATTGCGCCACTAAACCAACACCAGTGGGAAGCTGACAAAGGAAAATGGAATCAAGCCCTGTAAATCATGTGGCATCTTCATGTACATTGCACGTAAAGTAACAAAAGTTGCTGCTGTTGTACATTTACTGTAAAGTAAAATGTCTTGCAGAACTGCATTTTATTGGAAGATGAACATGTTCACTAACCAAGCTTTCATCTACAAGCATCTAATTAATAACTTTATTCTGTTATGAATGAAAATAAAACTTTCTTAAAAAATCCATTTCTTTTACTGTAGATTCTGTCTCTTACCCAACTTGAAATTTGGAGTCTGTATAAAAGATTTTCTTCTCATTTTGTCTTTTCAACAATGCTTTCAAAACCATCAAAAACACAAACCAAAAGAAGTGCTTCCATTTCAGGCATTGTATACAATATGATTGCTCTTTAACATTATAATGATATTTTATATATTTCTAAAGCCTAAGAATTTAATTGTTCCCTTAGATGGAAAGATCTTTTTCTATAAGAATTTTTGTAATTTATTGAGAGATGTGAAAATAATTGTGGGTTTTTTTTTCATTCAGTGCCTAAACTTAAGAAAATGAAAACGGGCGAACTGTTTCAGGGTGGGCTGAAATGACAAGTTTCATTCTGGAGTTTCATTTTTAAAGTTTCATTTAAGGCTATTTATCCCTTCTATATAGTAGATCAATTTTGAAATTATAACGTCAACTTGAATAAAATTGCAAATGTTTAACTTTGTTGAACCAAAAGTCTGACCTCTCCAAATGCTTTCTTCTTTTTCCCCTGTCAAAACTTATTTGCTGAATTTTAAGTTAATTCAGGGAGAGTTCTGCCCTCTTCTGAAACTTGTATTTTTTAATTAATAACAATTTGCTATGGATATTGCCCAGATCTCAATTTGACTATATACACTCCGGACTACAAATACAGTTTGTAAATGTGCAAAAATGTGTTTAAGAGGTTTCTCCTTTTTTAATATATACATTATCTAAAACAAGCTATTTGAAGAGCTCCTGACACAAAGTACTGGGTAGAAACTATATATGGTGTTTCTAATTGATTGAGATAGCTGGGAAAATTACAGGAAAATAGTCTTCTCCTTAAATACAATTTAAGTTTTTCCTTGGTATAAATACGTCATAGTCACCTGTGGTCATGTGAACAACATCCTTGTCAGGCCCAAAAGTCATGTTATTGCATTTGGGGAGGCTGAGAGGATAGGATTTGTATGATCAAAACATAGCTATTAAAATTTAGGTAAGTTCCCTCTGCAGTCACCAGAGAGAGAAAGGCACCACCAGCCAGCTACTCATGCCATCTCGGCACTGCTGTCTGAGATGGGCAGATGAATCACCTCAGAGGATGGTCGTCTCCTTCCCTGCACTGCAGCAGGAGCCCTGATGTCTGTCTTAGATTGTGCGCTTGGGCTTTAGGTTGCCGAAGTCCAGCACCTAACCTCCCGAGTCAGAGTCGTTAAGATGTTTAGATCACTGAAAGAATTAGTCACTGCTAGATTCCCAGTTGATTATGCTTGTTTTGTTCTGTTTTAATTTTTCTAGGTGCTTGAATGAATATCTTTTGTAAGAATTTGGCCCCCTGCTGGAAACCTGTGACAGGGCTAAGACATAAGCCTTGGTTTCCCCCCCTCTAAGATTAACATTTAAATGAGGGCACTGTATCTTCTCAAAAACAAATTGTCTCATTTTACCTTCAAAAGATCAAAAAGGCCTGTCAGGGATTCCAAGGTCTAATATATCAAGGCAGTGAATATTAATGACATTTATTCCCTCATTTAGACTAGAGGGTATTCTGGTGGTGGATTTGGGGGTTTGGAACTGTCTACGTTTGTTGTTTACAACTCGAGTTGATTGAGATGCAGTTAATTTTCTTCACTTCAATATGCCTCTAATGGGGAGAAACATTATATTTCCAAACAGTAGAAATACCTATCTTGCCAGACCTTTAGATTATCATAATGGTCCCTTTCTTTTTCCAGGTATGTGTGACTACATGCAGAAATGGATTTAGAAAGAGGCTTACAGGTTGCATGGCACCCTCTCTTCCAGTAGCTTGTTGGATGAAGGATATTCAGAGTTAAGCCTCTTCTTAAAATAGAACCATTTTTGCACACCTTCCCTCTACCCAGAAAATACCCTCTTGTCTTTTTAAAACTGTGAGTCACTCAAAAATGGTCAGAAAAATGCTATCCCAAAGATGAATGCATCAGGCTGTTGTTACACAGAATTCCCATAACAAGCAACTGAAATGTTTGCTATGGTCAAAAAAATGATAATGTGTTTCTAGATTTCTTAGCAAAAGGAACTAGAGAAGCCAGCAGGAGTACACTGAAGCTCTGAAAGTTCTCCTGAGGTTTATATATTTCACCCAAACAAGGCTGGGAAAGCAGCATAGTAGCAATCACGGCTAACATCCAGATGGGATCTACCATGATATCACAAACAGGACAGACAGCTCTATTATCTTTATCTGTGATATGGTTTCTGTTTTTCTCTTAAACTTGAGAGTTTCATTCACTGAGAATTCCTGCATGTTTGGTACTTGACTCAGGTGCAGTCCCTGAGGATTGCACCCATTGTTACATTTCTATGGCAACCTCTGGATTCTCCTGACACCGATTCCCATCAGCTCCTGTAATTGTAGATCACTGATTGGGCATTCATTCATTCCCAGTTTCTAATTTATCTCTTTTGGACAAAGCAAGACTTTATCTGATCCCTTTTTATCAGCATGATACTTGTAAGTCTACCCACAAAGCAACCCCTTACCCTAACTTATGTCTCAGAAGCAGAGAATGACTGCTTCAAGAGACATGCATGGAAAGCTCTCTCTAGGGAAGAAGAGAACAGGGATGCAAGAAGAAACACAAAGCGGTAATAAAACCTGTGAGCTATTGACATTCCTTGCTTTAGCAATGAAAATGAGCTAAAATCTCTGCAAAAGAAAGGAAAAAAATAAGCACAGAAAAAAATTTGCATAGATGTTCCTGCAGATTTAGTTTAGAATTTCATGGCCCTTCAGATTACTCCAACTCTGAAGTAAAAAGCCCAAACAAACAAAACCCCACATCCCTTTGTATGTGAGCAGCTAATACCACACTGAAGTATGACACATAGTCACAAAACACCAAATCCACACTCTAGGCTTCATGTGGAGTCACATTAATAGGAACGTACATAATTGCACATCAAATCAGAACAGTGAGAATAGGAAGTAACAAAATGGAGGAATGACGCTTGTATAAAGCCTTAACACAGATATAATGGATGCAACCTTGTAATTATCATGCAACGTTAAGGTGTGTCCACCTCTGTGGCCAGCAGAAGCTCATGGCGACTGAAAGAGTTTGCTGTTACATGTACCACAACTTCTCCTTTGGATCATTGGTGCAGGGTAGTTTCAAACAGCTTGCATAAGTTATTCAGGAGAAGAAATTGACCCAGATTGAAGGGGGTCCCTGCTCCTGAGTCATGCTATGAACTTAAATGCCTTTCAGTTACAGAATCTATCTGATCCATGCAGGCAGGTGAACCCTCTCACTGTGGTTATCTCTAGTTTTAAAGAGGACTTTCGGGAACTGAGTGAAGCTGCAGGAATGTTAGCCCTTTCTGTCATGTTTTCTTCATGCAAACTTGCCTGTTTTGTTTAATCATCAGCACTAGATGCCTTTTTGTGATGGATATCATTGGCTTTTCAGTCCTCAGCATTATGTAGAAAATACTGCTATCTAGACCTCTTCTGCAATTTGACCTTTCATGACACTAAAAACTAATGAAATGTAGTCCAGGAAGAAAAGGGTAGCCTATGTGGAAGTTTGTCTGTTAAATTATTGCTTGGAAATACCCAACTCAACATGCACAATATTTACCACTGTTAGCAATAAACTCTTCTGACTACAGTAATATAACATCTGTTGCTGTTATGCAGCCTCACCCTTTAATTAGGCACAGATGGTCTTCCTATTCCCCGTCTGGTCTTTTGTTTTTGAGAAGAAAATATAAACCAGTTTTGTTTGTGACCTATTCTTGTAGGTAAATTCCTCCACGCTATATACTGGTTAAGACATCTCACGTGCCCAGTAACACAAGATTTTCAGATATACCAGTAGAAAGTGCCTTTATTGCACTTAGAGGTATGGAGAGAGGAGGAAGAT